CTGCTGGCTAGTACAAACTCCCCCCCCCCCCATTCATAGCAATATGGAAATTAACGTCATCAAAATGCATTTTCCTTCTCAAATGTACTCACAGAATATAGGAAACATTTCTTCGAAAGATAATTTAAATCTAAGAGGAAAGAGGGAAAATATATACCCTTAAACACTAATCCCAATGTCAGAACCAATTAAAATTCAATTAAATAAGAGCAACAAAAGCCATGGGAAAAGTCCAGTTTCTTTAAGTCTGGATAACTGACAGAATGGTATGAAGTTCCAAGAAGACTTCCTTTTATGTTTATACTAATCTGGAAGAAAACCAGTTTTCCTAATTTTAAAAGCAAAGCATTCTGAAGTGAGTGACCTTTACAATAGTTAGAATTCAAGCTAATTTCAGGTAGTCCTCATTTAGTGACCACAATTGGGACCAGCAACTCAGTTGTTAAACAAAACGGTTATTAAGTGAAAACATGACTGTGCTTATGATCTTAATTCAGCTTTCCTTTGCTTTAGAAATTTGGAAGTATCATAAGTGTGAGGATTGGTCACAAAGTTACTTTTTTATCACTGTCATAACTGCAAGCAGTCACTGTATGAAGCTAAATGAGGGATACCTGTGTTGCTTTAAAGCAGGGGTCCCCAGCCCCCGCTTTGTGGACCGGCACCAGTCCGCGGCATGCCAGAAACCGGGCGGGGCAGACAACCAAAGCTCCATCCACAGGATTCAGGCAGTACATGAAACCACACCCCCTCCTGTCCATGGAGAAACCTCTCTCCATGGAACCAGTCCCTGGTGCCCAAAAGTTTGGGGGCCTCTGCTGTTAATTGCACTTAGGATTGGAAAGGTGTTCAAATGGAGTAAGCATGGTTGTCTTTGCTCTGTTCTTATTTAAAAATCTAGTTCCCCTATTTTGGACCACCGATATGGCTAAGATATCCAAGGATATATTTGTGTACATGCCTTTACAGCGATCTATCCAAGAAGGGGTAAGACTCTATCCAACAGCCAAAGCTGAACAAATACCTTTAAATCTGTGCACTGAGTACAAACCTTAATGTACTTTCAGATTGTTTATTTTGAATGTTTAGTCCAGAGAAAGTTGTATTACGTTCAGTGAATTGGATATTATTTATAATTCAGGAATTGTGCAAATATATGAATTTGCTGTTGATTTATTCTTCGATAATTTTAGTAATGATGCTGTAATTCTTCCTTCTGAAAAAGTGAAAAGTAAAGCAGAATACCCTCAAAATATTCAACATTAAACACTTACTACAATAATTGGCCTCAAAACCAGTCAATGGATTGTGATGGACTACCACCAGATTTGGAAGAGTCACACAAGAAGTGCTTTCCTAAAAAGTCCTCAGGTGCTATCTGCTAATTGACAAGGCATTCACAGGAACTGAACATCCTTTCATGGAATACTGCAGGTACTGCAGTTCTGCAAGTGTAGGGATAAATCATTTATGGATTATATCTCTAAATATAACATTATTTTGTTACAGGAAACATGGGCCACAGAGGATATGGGGCTTGATAATTTTTCAGTGTATTCTCTGAAGGCCAATAGATTAAGAAAAGAGGGGGGGGCAAGTGGTGGATCTTTTGAATAAGTGAGTAATCTAAAACCCTGTAATCAATTTGTAATGGTTATAAGCCTTTGAGTTGGCCATCTTGTTGTTAGAAACACCTTTCTCCCATCACAACTGTTACAAAGCAAGTGAAAGAAAAGTGGCTTATGTTGAGACTATATATGACATCCTTAATAATTCATTTCATTTCCAGTGTAATGTATCCATTTTGGATAACACGGAATCATTTCCATATTCTGATACTATATTGGATCAAGTCACTAATAAATTCCTAATTCTTTTGAAAAAGAAAGAACACAATCCACATTAAGTCTCTTTAAGTTCTGTTGGTGTTAGTTTGTAGATTACTTAAACTTGGCCACTTTAACTTGATTGTATTGTTTCTAAGAGATTACCAGAGAATTCGTTAACATGCCAGGATTGTCTGGAATATCAAGTTTAAAAATATTGCTGTCCTAGATATTGCAGTCCCATTTTTAAGCCAAAACTATAATTGGCATATTTCCACATTTGAATAAAATTCTGTTACAAGTTGTAAATCTGCTTGAATTATTTTCAGCAATGGAAACTAGAAGTCATTACTATGTGAAATTACTAAACAAAAATAATAGAGATATATATTTTTGACACCCTTTGTTTTCATATTATACCTTCTGTGCAATGTAGATTCTTAGTTGTGGTGAGTTGCTGCCCTAAAATCTACTTACTTATTTAAGACATTTATGTGTATATGTGGTTTTTCTTTCTTTTCTTTTCTTTCTTTTTTTTTTTTTGAAAAAAGCAAAAGTCAATGCAAGTAATTTCAAAACCTCAGCGTACTAAAGAGTGCATTTACTGTATAATAACTGTTCTTCCGTTTTGGTTGTGTAATGCACACTGCTAAGGTGACCAACTTTTTTGCAATGAAAAGGAGGACACAAATAAATTGAAGAAAAAATATTGTAAATAAAATTACGTTCAGCAGCAATTCCTATTGGCTTTCGAAAGCCAATAGGGGGAATAGCACAGTTCATGCAAAAGTTGAGAAAAAACCATCAAAAAAAGATGCCGGAACACCGTTCTGAGCATTCTATGAGAAGAAAAAAAAGCCCTCCAGATTAGTCTTCAAATATCGAAAAGGAGGACATGAAGGAGGACACTTTTCGAGGGAGGACAGAACTTACAAAAGGAGGACTGTCCTCCCTAAAGGAGGACGGTTGGTCACCTTAACACTGCATTACTTTGGATTCCTGTTGGTTTTGCTGTTCTAGAGACTGCTTGCACGCTGTGATACATTTGCACTGTTGTAAATACATTAAACATTGTCTTTTTTCCAGGTGGCTTGTTTATCTTTTATAGTTCTGATGATAATAACTAACTGAACTATGAGTAATTTGATTCATGTATTAGAAGATTTAGAATGTTGGGCATTCTAATTCTGTATTTTGCATAAACTAACAAAATGCTTTGTATATTTCTGTATAGTTGATTTCCTGTAGAATATTTGTATGTGCATTATTTTCCAGGTTAGAGCTCATTTTTCTGAAAATGGAGAATCCTTATGATAATGCAACAAAAGAACAATTAAATAAAAGCATTGATATTTTCAAACTGTTGTCTTTGTCCTGTTTCAGTGAGCCTTCAGTTTTCAGTTTTTGAAGCTTTCCTTATCCCAGTATTACATAAGGATCCCTTTTAAAAATTTCTTTTACCTCTTCTTTGTCTTTCTCTCTGTGCTTCCCATTTTTGCCTCTTATTGTTCTTCCTTTTTTGCTCTCTTTAGAATTCATGAGGCATAAGCCAATGAAAACAAATTATGAGTTCTAAACAGTGGTGGGATTCAGATATGTGAACAACTGGTTCTCTGCATGGATGCCACTTCCGGAAGTCCATTCTGGGCTTGGGCAACAAAAAAATTAGCTAACGATTCTGCAAACTTGCTGAATCCCACCACTGGTTCTAAACCGGAAGAAGGATCGTAATTACATAATCCAATAAATGTAAATTGGCCAGTAGGCAAAAAGCAGTTTTCTCTTTATGCTGTTTTTCAGAATATAGCCAAAGATTGTACACTAGAGGGTGCTGCATTCTTCAATAAACAATGAAATTAAGTCTTGCTTAAATTTTCCTCATAACATTTCTCTATAGAGTATTCTGCTCCCATGTTTTGATATTTTCAGGGGAGAAAAGAGATTAAAACTGTAGAGTTTTTATTTTTTAAAAAAATTTTTTTTAAAAAAATAAAATACATAAAAACGTCTACATTTTCATTTACATTACACTGTGTTTACTTCCAGAGAAACTTCCAGGGAAGCTGTTTAAATGAAAATATTGTAGCTAAAGTGAAGATGGAGTTCAGAGCAAAGAGAATTGAGATGCCTGATGTTTTACTCTCCACTCTTTCTCTTTATCAACATTCCCTTTATCTGGCCACCACTACACCTTAACACATTAGGAACATGGAATAGAGAAATATGTTCCACCCACAAATAAACCAATCCCCCAGATTCTTAATTTTCATACATGGTTTATTCGTGATTATTTATTTTTCATGGTATTTTGGTTAAAAATTCCAGGGTCTGCTTATCTATGGATGGGTTTCTAGGCAATTACATATAAAATGTATGAGGATTAAGTCTTATAGTATATGCTCACAGATAGGCCTATCTCCAGATAAGTCAAACCCAATTTTTGGAATGTATTTTGACACCTAAAATTCTCCGCTTATTCACGAGTGTGTATATATGTTCTGGGTAGCATGTGAACAACTCTGCCTGGGTTTGGAACCCAACCAGGGATGAACTGGAATAATAACTTTGGTGAGAAAGTTCTAGTGGCTACTAATACTGTAGGCCCTTTTTCTTAATAACATCACACTGTGCCAATTTTTTGAAGTTATTGACTATTCTTAGCAATTCCTACCTTTTCATAAAACTATAATTCCTAGGATTTCATAGAGAAAGTAATAGCTCATGTCAATTTCATTAGTCTTATTCATAGTATTCTCAAACTAGACAAAACTGCAGATGTGTGCATTTCATTTCCCCAAATCTACTGGCTGGGAATTATGGGAATTGCAATCCATACAACTAAACGTTGCCAAGGCTTCTTGATATGATTGCTGCCACGCTAATGGATTCCTTTGAGTATTTCTGGAAAAGGAGAGTCTTCCTATAGCTTCTCTAACATGCTCCTCTGCCAAAGCTCAGAGTCTGGGCCAATTGAGGATAATCCCCACCAAATAATGCACTAGGCTTGAGGAAAAAATATAATTAACTTATAGTATTTGCAATTAATACAACACTGCTGTGTTCACGATGGACTCTGATTTGAAGTATCAATATACATCAATATACTATGGGGGGAGGATTTGTAGAACAAAAACATGTAGAACAAAACAGTACAAATATGAAAAATGACATAGATTTAAAAGTTAGGAAAGTTCTCAAGGCTTTTATTTGCAGAACAATAGACTAGAAAAAGCTACACTTGTGTTTAAGTATTCTATTTAATTTTTAAGATAAGGTTGACATGATCTCATAGGCAATATTTATTTTAACAGAAGAGAGCATATGTATATCTACAGATTGAAAAGTAGCTTTATTTTAATTCCTCAGGAACTCTAGAAAAAGGCGACAGGTTCTGAGATCCCATTTACTTTAGGTGGAGCATTCTGGAAACAAAATACAATTAAAAACAATTAGTACTGTCCTCAAATTATAGTGCCAAATATTAACTTCAACGAGATACCTGAAATGGGAAAAGTGGGTTACTATTTGTTTCTTTGTATTTCATGTTTCTAGACTTCCCATCCAGGGAGTTTAATGATGAAGTAGAATATTTACTAAACTAGTATTAAAGATGGGAAAACAGTAAGAGAAATAATAATATGCAAATCATCCTGGAAATGTTGTAGATAATATACTGTCTTTTACAAAGAATGAATGTTTATCAAAACAAGGACAAATAGCTATGTATAAAATCTGGGCAAACGAGGGGCACTCTCAAGGAGAGTGAAAAGCATCTTTTTAATGTGCATTGCATGTGGCAAAACAAAAAGAAATAGGGTCAAGAATAAATAATAATAATAATAATAATAATAATAATTAATAAATAAATAAATAAATAAATAAACTAATACAGAACTGAGTGACCATTACAAAATAAATTCTTTGAGATAGTTTGATCATATAAAGAATGGGGAGGGGTTTTCTTTAGGCTGTGGTTGTTTTTTTTTTTTTTTTTTTAATTGAAATTTTTCAAAAGTTTTACAAATAAGAATCCACCCCCCCCCTCCCCAACCACCCCACCCCACCCCCCCGACTTCCCAGAACTGAATATAGGATTATTTAACAAATATTTTAAAAATAACATTTGCAATTTATAAAATAATTAATAATAATAATAAAAATCACAGTAATAATATATATAATAATAATATACATAACATAAACTTTAAAATAAATAATATATACTAAAAAAGAAAAAAAAGAAATAAGAAAAGAAGAGAGAGAGAGAAAGAAGAAAGAAGAAAGTAGACGAAGAATAAAGCATATATATATAAAAAAAAAAATGAATAATAATACGTAAAAAATGTATATATATAAAAAAGAAAAAGAAGAAAGAAAGAAAGAAAAAACAATCATTACAAATTATAAAAAGGCTAAATAATATTTTTCCATATCCAAATTATGTTGTATAAAATTTATCCATTTTTCCCATACCGCAAAAAATTTTTCTTGAGATTGCTCCTTTAAGAAAGCCGAAATCTTTGCCATTTCTGCCAAATACGAAACTTTATGAAACCATTCTTGTAAAGTAGGCAAAGATTCCTTCTTCCAATATTGTCCTATTAACAACCTAGCGGCTGTAATCAAATTTAACATCAATATAACCTCCTTAGCATCACAGTCAATAACAATACCTAGTAAAAATAATTGCGGAGTAAATTTTACCCTCCTTTTAAAAATTCTTTGAATATTCCACCATATCTTAATCCAAAAAGCTTTTATATGCTTACACGTCCACCAAATATGGTAATAGGTAGCATCCAAATATCCACATCTCCAGCATTTCGGCTGTAGATTAGGGTACATAATGGACATTTTCTTTGGGTCAAGGTGCCATCTATAAAACATCTTATAAAAATTCTCTCTTAAATTTTGCGCTTGTGTGAATTTAACATTTCTTATCCAAATAAGTTCCCAAGTATCCATTGAAATCGTTTCACCAATATTCTGTGCCCATTTAATCATACAATCTTTAACTAGTTCAGTTCTGAATCTAATTCCACTAAAACCCCATAAACTCTCTTAATATGGGTTGGCCTTTGATCTCTTACTTGTTTTAAAAAAATTTCATCTTCTCTAAGCCAGCCCGTTTTACAATCCATCTTCCATCTATCCACTATTTGTCTATATTGGAACCATGAATAAGTTAAATTTTCATGTGTTAATTCTTCCAAAGATTTTAACTGCCAGTCTTGGCCATCCCATCTTAGTAACTGTACGTAAGAGACCTTGTCCATATTTACCCCTTTCCTTATACCTTCTATGGCATGCCGAGGTATAGCCCATAATGGTATTTTGAAGTCACTTTTATAATACTTTCTCCACACTCTTAGCAAAGAGTTTCTTATAATATGAGACTTAAAAACCCAATCCACTTTTTTATTAAATATTAAGTAGGCATGCCATCCAAAAAGTAGGTCCCAGCCTTCCAAATGAAGTATTTCTGTATTTGTTAAATTCACCCAGTCGCTAATCAATGTCAATACTACAGGCTGTGGTTGTTAAATGCTTGTGATGAATAGCTGACTATGAACAGAATCTGCAGTTGTCCTTGACACCATATACAGGTCACCATGTTCAAGTTCATCTAAGCACATACTTATTAGGTTGATCCCTGAAGATCAATAGATGCTGACAGTGGTTTGCAAAATAATATGGATTCTGCTTGCAGCAACGCTTGGTTTTATTAAGACCAAGATTTGCTGTTGTATTAAATGGTTTATTGTATTAAATGGTTTAGTGTTTGCTGCTGTAAGAGCTGGATTTATAGTTTTTTCAGAATGTACAAATGATCTCTATTAAAATTTTCAATTTGTTTTTCTAGTTAATTTAATCTCTCATTAAGTAAATTATCAGGTGGAATTGCCCCTCTCCAGAGATTTGAGCAGATCAGTAGAGATAATTGATTTTATCATTTTGACATAAGAGCAAAGCCTCAGTTTCTTATTCCATAAAACATATAGTACTGATAGTATAGTAGCTGTGTTAGGTTGGATAAACCAGATTAGATGGGTGAATTGCTTTTGTTTTTGCTCCAATTCTCTGGCTATAAACTATTTTAGTCCTCTGTGAAAGTGACCAACCTATAAATTAGGTATATACATATCTACATATTGCCTCAACACCATTCATGTCAATTTATATCACTTCATAACTGTGCCAAATGACACATTGAGATGAAAATTAAGTAGGCAAATTCAGATTGAATGGACATTTGGCTTTAACAGACACTCCTTTCCCCCAACAGTCCATTAAATCATGGGTTGATTCCATGTCACTTACTACTATTACTTTTCTTGCTATCAGATTATAATGTTTTCTAATTATGGGGTTTTGCCTTTGAGGGGAGTTAATAGAGGTCTATGGCAAGTCGCCACAGCTAACTTGCCATGGGACAAGAGCTACCCTAATATCAAAGAAATGGTGGAATGGAGTCATTAAAGAAAGAATGCAAAAGGAGGGACAAAAATGAAATGTGAATGAGAAAAATTAAAATAATATATAAAATATTTTAAATAATTAAATTGAATTGTTAAATTGTCCTATGGGAAATTGTCCCTTGGTAAGTTGGTCACAATAAATTGGCCGTGGCAAATTGGCCAAAGCAAGTTGTCCCATTCCAGATAGTAGATATTCAGTGCTGATAATTTAGACTAGTTGCATTTATATGGTAATGAGAATCACTTTGCGAAGAATTTTCCTTAACCAATAGCTTCAGTCACTGAATCAATACCTGTATTATCTTTTGGAAAGAAACACCAGATGACTCCAGCAATACTTGAATCAAAACAGCATCCTCTATTGTAGCATTCCTGAGCACTGATATAGGGGTATCCACAGTTCACTCTGGCATTTGGTTGCACTTGGCATTGTCCTGGAACTGTTAAATACAGTCTAAATTAATCTAGTATAATAACGTATTTGAGGAAGGGTAAAACCATTAGGGTATTTGATTTGTAAAACAAAAAATTCTCCACTCAAATTTGAATGCTAAATACTCTTAAAAACAGATATTAATCAAGTCTAGAATTGTCTTTAGATATGTTGATGCTTTAGACAGGGGAGCAAATGCAACCCCTTCCCTCAGACTCAAAGCAATATAAATCAGTCAAGAAGTTTGGCCATCCGAGGATGAACATCTGTAAAAATATTGTAACAAAGAATATGTACTAAGAATGCCAGGAAGATTCTGCCTCCCCTTCACATGTTATCAAATGCTGACAAAATTAATATTGATGACAAAAGGCTGCTGCAGAAAGTGTAGAATAGGCAGCTTTTATATAAAGTGAATCAATATTTCCCATAAACATTTTTTAAAAGTTCCACTCACGTAATTTCAGGAAAAACCCATTAGCCAGGCTGCTGAATCCTAAGACAAGGACCATTGCCAATAACCAGAACTTCTTCTGTTCCATGGCAGCTTGCTTTCCTCTGTCAGGAATCTTTAATGCTCCACAAGAAATTAACTATGCAGGGTCTAGGCAAAAAAATTGCTGAAAATAATTTTTATACTAGCGTGTTTGTTCAATTTTTTTTACGTAATATTTATCTTTGGAGGGCTTTTTATGTCCTCATAACTCCACCTTTGTTTTGATACCAAGATTTCTATGTATACCCAGATAAAGTATCAAAATGTGGTAATGATTGATTAACTATTAGTAGGAAGATTATGTAGCAAGAGAGATCAGCCTCTCTTTGGGATCTTTACAATGCCTTGGTAAGGCCACACCTGGAATACTGCATACAGTTTTGGTTACCACGATGTAAAAAAGATGTTGAGACTCTAGAAAGAGTACAGAGAAGAGCAACAAAGATGATTAGGGGACTCCAGGATAAATCATATAAGGAACGGTTGCCAGAACTGGTTATGTCTAGTTTAATGAAGAGAAGGATAAGGGGGGACATAATAGCAGTGTTCCAATATATCAGAGACTGCCACAAAGAACAGGGAGTCAAACTATTCTCCAAAATGCCTGAAGGCAGGACAAGAAACAACAGATGGAAACTAGTCAAGGAAAGAAGCAACCTAGAACTAAGGAGAAACTTCCTGACAGTTAGAACAATTAACCAGTGGAACAACCTGCCTCCAGAAGGGGTGAATGCTCCAACACTGGAGGTTTTTAAGAAGAGACTGGACAGCCATTTGTCTGAAATGGTATAGGGTTTCCTGCCTGAGCAGGCGGTTGGACTAGATGACCTCCAAAGTCCTTTCCAACTTAATTACTACTACTACTACTACTACTACTACTACTACTACTACTACTACTATTATTATTATTATTATTATTATTATTATTGCAAATGAATAAATCATATTCTTTCTTATCTGCTGAGCTTGTGCTCTTTCCTGGATCTTTAGCAAGGACTTGGGTAATCTTGGCCAGACGCCAAAATTTCCGCTTATTCACTCAAAATATTGCACAGCCCAGCTATTTTGTCTTGGTCCTATCTATTTCCCTTGATCTTGTCAATGTCTTGAATTTAGTCTGGACTGTATTTCTGGGCTCCCCCAATGTAAGCTGTCTTTCATTACTGAGATAGAAGCCAATGTTCTTCTTCGCCACTGCAGCAAGAAGCATACTGAAAATAACAACAAAAAGTGCTAATTGCAGATAGAAAACTGTGCTGTGAAAAAGATTGTGGAGAAGATTTGGGAGGACTATATTAGCTTTTCAAATAGAGGGCCATAAATGGAAAAACAGAAAGAAGAACCAGAAGGAAAAATTAGATCAAGCTTATTATGGCCTTTATTCAGCAGAACTCAAAAGAAAAGCTTACCCTAAAGATATAAAGCAAATTATTAGTACTTATCTTTCTCTATAATTACACTAAAGCAAGTCCAGTTTTGTTCTATCTGGCAAAATATACATTTGGGAGTATCTGATGAGATAGTAATGAATGCAGTCTAAATTATATACATTTATACTCAGTGGAAATATATATTTAAAATGGTGTAATAAGTGGAACATATATTTGGTGTGTTTAGTACAAACAAAATGGCAGTTGATGATTTACTATGATTAATTGTGCGAAGGTGGAGCTGAAATTATTGCAAGGTTCTTCCTGACATGATTTGAAGGGGATACTCCCTTGGTAACCAGGACTATAGGCTGAACTATGAAATAATAATTTAAAAAATGTCTAGAAGAAAGCAGTGCTAAATCGCTTCCGCCACACTTCCAAGAAAATTGCATGAATCTAGACACCAGGAGTTGGGCTTTACTGAAGAGCCTCTTGTTTTTTTATATATATATAATTTTTTAAATTTTACTTCTGATTTAGTCATGCCAAATAAAAAAACAAATCCTAAATAAACTTATATTGGTGAATCTTTTGCGTCTGTTTCAGGTTACAATAATATTATTGAGATATAGCACACTTCCAGCTTTTTAAACCAAATCAAATTCAGCAAGACCAAATGTTATATCCAATAGTGGTCATTCAGGAAATGTCCAGAATTCTGTCCTTCATTTCCCAGAATAGTTTCTACAATATTTTAATATTTGTTTTTTTTTTGCACAAGAAAATATTAATTACTCGTGGTTTCAGTACAGACAATTATTGGAAAGGTGGAAGATAGTTTATAAAGTGGGTTTGATTAGAGAGGATGAGAATTTGTTGAAACAAATTAAAGATCAAAATCGAACTCATATAAAAAGAATTTATGGTGTATTAGTGGAATTGGATTCAGAAACAGAATTAGTTAAAGATTGCATGGTTAAATGGGCTCAAAATTTTGAAGAACCGATTTTATTAGATACATGGGAGACAATTTGGGTGAGGAATGTTAAATTCACGCAAGCTCAAAACTTACAGGAAAATTTTTATAAAATGTTTTATAGATGGCACCTTGATCCACAAAAGATGTCTCATATGTACTCAAATTTGCAACCTAAATGTTGGAGATGTGACTGTCTGGATGCAACGTATTATCATATTTGGTGGTCATGTAAAAGTATAAAAGTTTTTTGGATCAAGATATGGTGGAATATTCAAAGAATTTTTAATAGAAGGATAAAATTTACTCCACAATTGTTTTTGTTAGGTATTGTATCTGATTGTGATGATAAAGAAATTATTTTAATGTTAAATTTAATTACAGCAGCAAGGTTGTTGATAGGACAATATTGGAAGAAGGAATTTTTGCCGACTTTGGAGGAATGGTTTTTTAAAGTTTCTTATTTATCTGAAATGGCAAAAATTTCGGCTTATTTGAAAGATCAAATGCAAGAGAAATATTTATTGGTGTGGAAAAGATGTATAAACTTTATACAGTATAAGTATGATATTAGAAAATATTATTTAGCTTTTGAATAATCTATATTTAAAGTTTAAGATAATGATTAGAAATGTAGACTTGTTTTGTCTTTTTTTTCTTCTTTTTTATATATATTGGAGTTAAAGTATTCAAAAATTTGTTTTTTGAATGTAGTTATATTTGTTTGAATTGTATTCAAGTTTAAATGGTTTTTTTTTAATTCTAGTTAAACCTGTATTCAGCTCTGGGAAGAAGGGGGTAGGGTTTGGGGGGGGGCTGGGAGGGAGTGGGTGAGGGATTTTATTGTAAAATTGTAAAAATTTATAATAAAAAAAAATTGTTTAAAATATCTTTTTTAGAATTTGAATTGTGTTTTCATTCTAATCATTCTAATTTGAATAATTGATTTAATTTGATTATAGGTTTTCTGTACAAGTCTATACAGCCACCAAATTTTCTGATCTATTAAGAAGCAATAAATTACATTATTCAAGATAGTGATCCAATTGTGAAAGTTCATTTGATTTAGATTTCATTCAATCTTCTTCAAATCTAAAATTTAAAACAATATACAGGATGATGCCTAAATGGCAGTAAGAACCAAGAGTAGAACAAGCATTAGGAATATCAAGGAGAGAGAAATGCAGCCAGTTATAGCAAAGCTCTATTGCTTAACAGAAGAAAAAGTATAACTGATTTAACAATGGAATATAATATCAAAATAATCAAAATACTGTATCTGTATAAAAGATGTACTCTTTTAATTATAATTTTGTATTCTTATTGTTATAGTTTTACCGCTTTTAATGTTGTAAGCTGCCCTGAATTGCCTTGTAGTGAGATGGACAGCAAATAAATTTAATAAATAAACAAACAAACAATAAATAAATATTACAGAAACTGAGAAAGGAAAACAGAGAAATGAAAGTGTCTTGGAAAATTGTAGTATATGCAGAATTGCTCAAAAGTCTTCTTCCTTGTGCTTTTCTTAACCAAATAAGAGTATGTATGTATGTATGTATGTATGTATGTATGTATGTATGTATATATGTTTTCTGAGGTTTTTGCGGATGTTTGTATGTAGGTCTTTGGTTATTCGGGTTTTCTCCCGCGTCAAATTGGAAGTGTCTTGGCGACGTTTTGACGAAGTCCCATTCGTCATCTTCAGGCTGGTGTTTTCAGCTTCGTGCTTCGAGGAGCAATGTGTGGTCTTAGCTGTTTCTTCCTTTTAACTGCCAGTGGGGGTATAAACTGATTGGGTGGGAGCTTGGCTGTGTTCTGATTGGGTGGAGGTGTGTTCTGATTGGTTAGGGTCTTGGATGTGCTCTGATTGGCTGGGGGGTTGGCTGTTTAAGATGGTGGGCTGCCTTGCTATTTTTTGGCTTCGCGTTTGTGGTTGTGCCTCATCTTCATGGTGGGTGTCAGTTTGCTTCATGTATGGATTGGAGGGGTTTAAAGTGGCTAATGATGCAGCTGTGGTCTGGCTTCTGGTTTGTGGTCGTGTCTCCTCATCAGTGTGGCTTTGGGTTTGCTTTTTGCATGGATGTGTGGTGGTGACATCCTGTATGGTTTTTGTGAGTGTGGGTCTGGTGTCATTTTTTGTGTTAGGGAGTCGTTTGTCAATAAGGGCGGGTTTCCAAATGGCTGGTAGGCGGGAGGTATCATCTTGTTTGTTCATGCTGTGTGGGCATTTTTCTATCTCGATGGCTTCTCTGATTATTCTGTTATTAAAATGTTCAGTTTTGGCGATAGTTCTGGTCTTTTTTAAAGTCAATTTCATGTTCTGTGGCTTTAAAGTGTTGGACCAGGGAAGATGTTGGTTCCTCTTTTTTGACTGAGTTCTTATGTTCTTCAATGCGTGCACTTATTCTTCTGTTGGTTTGTCCGATGTATGTGGTGGGACAAGCAGTGCATGGGATTTCATATACTCCTTGATTTTCTAACTCAATTTTGTCTTTGGGGTTTCTTAGGATGGTGGATATTTTTCTGTTTGTGCAGAATGCTGTTTTGATGTTGTGTTTATGGAGGATCTTGCTGATTCTGTCTGTGGTGCCTTTTATGTATGGGAGGAGGGCTTTGCCGTTTTCTTGTTCTCTGTCTTGGATTTTAGTGGGGGTTTCTTTTTGGATTAGGTTTGTAATTTTTATTTCTTTGGAATCCATTGGATGTTAGTACATTGGTGAGAGTGTGTAGTTCGGTTTTTAGGTG